GGCGAGTATCTCTCTGACGAATTCAGAGACTACTTAAAGATCAACGGGATAGTATCACAACTAGCTCCTCATGCTACGCCATAACTAAACGGTGTGTCAGAGAGGAGGAACCGGAATTTATTGGATATGGTCCGATCACTTCTCGTACACTCAGAGTTGCCCACATCTTTTTGGGGTTTCACATTGGAGACTGCGATATACGTGCTAAACCGGGTTCCAACCAAATCAGTTCCAAAAACTTCCTATGAGCTTTGGACTGGTAAGAAACCAAGTGTGAGACACTCGAAGATTTGGGGTTGCCTAGCACATGTTAAAAGAACGAGTGCGGACAAATTGGAATCCAAGACCAGCTGTTGCCTTTCGTAGTCTACCCCAAGGGCTCCGTGGGTTACCTATTCTATGACCCAGGAGAATAGAAAGTGTTCTGTAGCCGAAATGCCCATTTCTTGGAAGATTATTACATCCTGAACAATCATCGTCAGGAAATTGTTCTTGATGAGGAGAGCTCAGGGGTAGTGGGAGGTGTTCCACAAGTTCCAAGTAATGACCAACCTATAAAATCTACCCGGGTTTCTAGGCCTCTAGTTCGTTTCGGCTATGACCAGGATAGTTACCTGGTGAAAGCTACGACTAGTGAGGAGCATCCCGTGACTTATACGGAAGCTATGTTAGACATAGATTCCTTGAAGTGGGTAAATTTCATAAAAGCTAAGATGGACTCAATGGAGACCAATGGAGTCTGTACTCTGGTAGATCCGCCCCCTGGGGTAAAAGCAATTGGTTGCAAATGGATCTATAAGAGGAAGAAGGGMCYCRATGGTAAGRTTGAGACCWACAAGGCTCATCTTGTGGCGAAAGGGTACACTCAGAAAGAAATAATCGATTATGAGGAAACCTTTTCACCAGTGGCCATGCTTAAATCCATTACGATCCTGCTAGCTGTAGCAGCATACCATGATTACGAGATTTGGCAAATGGATGTCAAAACTACGTTCCTGAATGGAGATCTTAATGAAGATATCTACATGCAGCAACCACAAGGTTTCATAGCTACAGGTCAATAACACATGGTATGTAAGTTAAATAGATCTATATATGGACTTAAGCAAACTTCTAGGAGTTGGAACATTTGGTTTGACTCTACTATCAAAAGGTTTGGCTTTGAGAAAAATCTGGATGAGCCCTGTGTTTACAGGAAATCCAGTGATGATAAGATTACATTTCTGGTTCTGTATGTAGACGACATTCTACTCATTAGGAATGATGTAGAAATGTTGACTACGGTGAAAGTGTGGCTTTCGCAGCAATTCTCCATGAAAGATCTTGGAGAAGCCTCCTATATATTGGGTCTTCGACTCTATARAGAKAGATYDAARMDGATAATAGGATTATCCCAATCTGCTTACATTGACAAAATAGTCAGAAGATACAGCATGGAGAACTCCAAGAAAGGAAATGTTCCTTTCAGGCATGGGGTCACTCTCTCCAAGGGCATGTCTCCCAAGACTCCCGAGGAAATTGAGGGCATGAAGGACGTTCCCTATGCCTTAGTCGTAGGGAGCATCATGTATGCCATGTTGTGCACTTGTCCTGACATCGCTCAGGCAATTAGTGTAGTAAGCAGATTCCAGGCCAACCTAGGGCAGGAACATTGGACTGTTATAAAGGACAAAAGAGTTTTGTCTAGCATTTGATGGTAGATCACTATAGATCCAGGGGTATACTGATACCGACTACCAGTCAGATCCAAATGGTAGAATGTCTACATCTGGTTATATCTTCACGATAGGATCGTGTGCTGTTTTGCTGAAAGTCAGCAAACAAAGGTCCTAAGTAGTAAGAATAAAAGTCCACAACCCAAGCCGAACACATTGCCGTAAGTGAGGCTGCCTTATGAATGAAGGTGTTCATTCTGGAATTTGGAATTCAGCACATCACCCATTCCACTGTTGTGTGACAACAGTGGATCTACGGGAGATTGATGTTAAAAGGTAGCATCAGCGGAGAATGTGGCAGACCCATTGACTATACCACTGACACAGAAAGTGTTTGAGAAACACGTGGAAAGTATGGGACTCCGGCTTATACCAGATTGGACCTAAGTGCAAGTGGGAGCTGTTAGACAGTGTATGCCCTTAGCTCCAATCATAATGATGTACATTATGACATTTATTGTAAATGAATAAAGTACATATTTGATTCATGTTATTATGGTGTGTTT